CACAATATTTATCCCTTATGGGAGGATGAGACTGCAATCACAGCAGTCGGCCAACAACATCCATCCTCCTCTTATACCCTTTCAGTACCAGAAAGCCTTGAGTGGCTCTGAGCTGAAGGTATAAACCACATGGACAATTGCAACAGGCACAGCTGGATATGTAACACACTGAAGGGAAAAAAAACCTTTTATTTAGCATCAATGAGAACAAAATGAAATGACATTTGAAAAAAAAATTTTTTTTCCAGAAGCAAAGACCCAGATAATTTTCTGTTGCACATCTCTGGATTTTCATCTCAAAATGTCTCAAGATGTCTCAAGAAGTCTACAATCAAATGTCAAAGATCTCAGTATGAGCTCAAATATCTCATCAAATGTTAAGCTATACTATACACTTTCAATTTATAGCTCCATATTCTTACTGTAATGCCAATAAGTTTTTATTTTTAAAATCTTTTTTTTATTGTCCATGAATTTTTAAAAGAAATGGATAACACTTTACAAGAAACTTCATTATTTATCTTTAGTTAACCACATTAGTTAATATGAACTAACAATGAAAAGTTCTTCTAAGCATTAATTAATCATAGTTAATGTTAATTTCACACTCTAAAAAATGCTGGGTTAGAAAAAAAAACACCTGTTCTTTGTTAGCTCATGTTAGCTCAGGTTCATTAAATAATCTTAACAGATGCAAGTTTTGACATGTTGCACTCTATAAAATGCTGGGTTAAATACAACCCAGTGCTGGGTAAAATAGGGACAAACCCAGCAATTGGGTTGTTTTTACCCAGCGGTTGGGTTACTACCCAGAAGGTTGGGTTAAACATTTAACCCAACCGCTGGGTCAAAACAGCCCAATTGCTGGGTTTGTCCCTATTTTACCCAGCACTGGGTTGTATTTAACCCAGCATTTTTTAGAGTGTAAATCTGAACTATCCTAAAATGGCTGTTGCCAGCAATCTATCTCGGAATATAAACATTTTAGAAACATTTGACGATAATGAGCTTTTAAAAAG